AACCTCCTAAGAGGCTTGGAAATGCAAGAGACAAAATGCAATAAGTTGAGCATCAAAGAAGGCTTTATTTAAGGCAACATACACACCTGAAGAAAGGCGAGTGCAGGCAACCTCAGGAGGCACTCTTAAGGGCTGAGGATTCTGTCTTTTCAGGCTTTCAAGAATGGGGGCAAAGGGCAGGTGGAATGGAAGGGGGGCATGTAGGCTTGACATGTGGTCTCATGATGTCTGTCTCCAGTGAGAGACATTATGTCAACATCCATAATCTTTCCTCTAGATATTCTGTAAGGTAAACTTTATGCAAGGAATTTAGGACTGTTTGCCCTGCCTTAAGATAGGGTAGGTTATTGGTTGATTACCATAAAATGTGTTAGGAGTCTTACCTTCCAACTCCCTGATTTTTAAAAAGGAATCTTAGTCATAAGATGGAGTCCCTCCTGTTTTTACTATACTAGTTATATTTTGGGATTTTTCATCATAGGCAGGAGAAATTAATTGTGATTGTCCCATGTCCCTGCCCTACCTCACTGCCACTGCTATTTTTCTTTTCTGGATGGAAGTAGTGGCAAATGGAAACACACTCCTTCCTGACCCACTACTAATTGCTCACTCACTAACCTACCTCCCTTATAGGCTCAGAAACATTGTCCAGCTAGTTCATTGGCATCCTCATGGAGGCAGAGATCAGGGCTTGTTCAGTGGCAAGTCATTCTAGGAATTCTATCAAGGCATGGATCAAAGACCGTATCACTGGATAAAAAGGGGTAGTAGATAACTAGTAATTTCATCTGTTAAGAAAGTAAGATAGTACTACTTTACATACAGCAACTTTTGAATTAAAACAAATGATACAACCAAAGAATAACCTCAGGGGCAAGTTTAGATTTTCTTTCATTTTAGTCTCTATCCAACATAAATTTTATAGATTTTTAATTCAATGGAAAAAAAGCATGAATACCATCTCATCATGAACATGTAGGTATTTGCAAACGCACTTTCTAAGCCATTTGCTTGAATCTTTTCTTTCCCTCCTATTTATTTCATTTTCTCTTGGTATTTTCTCTTCCTTTTTAAATTGCGTTGGCCCAAGAACCAAGACATTGAATCAAATTTTCACATGCTAAGTTACATATTCAGGTATGTAAAAATTAAAAACATAACTTGGTTGCATAACAAATATCAGTGTGCTGAGAAATTTTGCTCTTGTGTTAGGTTTTTATTTTCCTTTTGTTCTTGGTTTTAGAAATAGGTTACATGTTCTTTCTTTACCTGCACTAGTTATAAATAACCTGGAGATACACATTTACTGCCTTCAAAGTCTCTCTATTTATTTCCAACCTTAATAATACCACACAAATCAGTAGCTTCCTGGAAGAAGTCTGGATAATGAGAGAATCATAGAACAATACCAGGATGCCTGTTTGTCTTCCAGATTTAAGGCCTTGAAACTGATCTGAATAGTCATGAGACAAAAGCCTTATTCTTCTTCCTTAGGTCTCTATTTTATAGCAATCTCTATTTTTATCACCTTTTTTATGGCATTGACTACTAACTATATTTTACTTTTAGCACTGATATACAGTAAAGTAAAAGACCACAGCTATGTAGCTAAATGAGATGGTATGAGCTACAACTACCTAAATGCAGTCTAATGTCTGTTTATACAGATGGGACAAACTAGTAGAATGGTTCACTTATTCATTCAATCAGTGTTTATTGAGCACCATTCATGTGCCACATGCAAGTGATAAAATGTAAAACAGCCGTGGGTCTTGTCCTCCTGGTAGCTTACAATCTAGTATGGGATTTGGACAGGTAAATGCTGTCTGAGGAGAGGGTTTGATGGGTGGTATGATAAGGGAAGTAAAGAAGCTCTGTGACAGAAGTAAAGACCAGAGGGATGTGCAGCTTGAGTCAGGGTGCATTCCAGGCAGAAAGAACAACAGGCTTATTTGGTTAACTGAAAGAACCTGTGGTATGGCTAAGCTTAAAGTGTGGAGGGAGATGGCAGAAGACCACACTAGAAAACTCAACAGGGGTCTGATCTGAAGGATCTCTCAGCAGGGGGTATCATGAGCGCAGCTGCACTGTAGAAAGTGCACCCTGTTGGCAGTTTGGAAACGGGCCTGGGGAGGGAAGGCTGGATGCAGGGAGACCAAGTAGGAAGCAGTAGCAGCTGGTGATGGCATGAGTTAGAACGTGGTGTGTAGTTGCCGGAAAGTGGGCGGAGTAGTGGCTTGCTGGCTTCGGATACTCAGACACAGTATGTGTTGGAATCTTCTGTCTTGATGATTTCTTTAAATTGTGTCCATCAGTTTATCAACATATATTTGCACTACGACCAGTTGAATTTGCCTGCCAAATGCCCTAGGATTACCGGGCTTTTGTGGGTACCTGTTAAAGAGTTCACTTACCAACAGTGTAGCGTGTTACAATGTGCTTGAATTGAGATGCACTCATAGCCAAGCCTCTGCCTACATATTTGCAATAATAAGAAGTTCATTATTTCCTGAGGCAATATGACCTGGAATTGAGATTCTAAATCTGCATGCTTCTGAATCAAACTGAAAAAATGTCTACCTCCTCATCTACCTGCTAGCTTTCTTGGACACCTTCCTTCCTGATCCGTCTCCCTGGCTGTTTTAACACTCCATTGTTTGGCCTGGCCTTCCGGATTCTTTCCCCCTCTGATCTCTTCCTCCTCTCTGTGGACTCGGTTTGTTAGGTTCCTTGATGACAGCTGGTCAACGAATTGGCCTTTAGAATGTCTAATTCCCTCTTAGACTTTTAGGGTCATTGTTGTAGTCTGAGATTAATCTCTAATTCAATTTTTTTGTCTGTTAAGTGAAACTAATAGGAGTATGACTCCTCCCGTCACAAACCATGATTTAACTAATTGGCCATGGTTTACTAGTAAATCGGTTTGTAAATAATAAAGTCATGGAAGTTCAAATTATGATTGAAATTATATTTAGACAGGAGAGAGGAAGGGAATTGAAGGTGATGATAGCCCAGGTAAATTTCTTTGTCCAGAATTTGGCGTAATTTTTTTCTAAGTTTAGTGGAATACTGCCTTCACTCCGAAGTGTTCCTTTCTAAGATGTTCATATTTAGGCAGCATATTTTGCAACAAACATTTCTGTGTATGAAAGTTGGATGACAGGATTCAAAAACCACAGGCCCTCCTGGGTCCTCCTTCACAGAAAGGTCCGCAGTGGCTGCAGGTCCTGACATAACGTTCTCCACATCAGTGAAGCCTTCTCTTTAGTTACCTGCCTGGAAGCTTCAAATTGCTTCTTTGCTTTGTCTTCCTTAAAGAAATTCTGAAAAAAATCTCTGGTGTTCCATTCCTTTGTTGGGAAATGCAAATTCACCTCAGTGTGTAAAGGCTGTGCGGAGACTGTGTGGCACAGGATGCCAAGTCGCTGATTTATCTTTGCTGAGACTGTCAAGGATACCAATAGACAGAGGGTCTCAGGTCCTTGCCAGGGTGGGTGAATAAATGCCAGGGTATTCATACAACAAAACAAATGTCACGGTGTTTTGACAGTCTTCTCTTGGAATATACTCTTTGCTGAGTATACAATTTAAATATATGCTAAGACCTTAAAATATACTAGTGTAGAATTACTAGTATCATTCTTGGTCATCAATGAAGGGAAACAGTGGTATGAATGATAAAAACTTGTTTTTGACTTTGTAGTGGCGAGGCTTTTGAGGCTGCAGTGTGGTATTAGAAGGAATTGACTTTGGAGTCATCCTGGCATTGCTACTTGGTCCCATGACTTCAATACTGTGCCTCAGTTTCACTGTCTGTCTAATAAAAACAATAATACCTACCTCACGGTTTTTTGTGAAGAACAAATGAAATATGTCAAATGGGTAGCTAGTCTCATCTCCTGTTTTAAAACTACAGAATAATCTGAAAACCAGTTTGCCTTCTCAGAACTTAACGGTGGGAAGTCAGAATGGTATGAAATCAGGAGTCCTGCGCTAGTCGGGTCCCCTCTAGTTCTGGGACAGCTCTGTGACCTTGGACTGCTCATTTTTATAGTCATCCATAAAATGGAGTTCATCACAGCCACATGTTTCATTTACTCACTCATGTTACAAATAGTTAATGAATGCCAGTAATGGGCCAGGCATTGGGAATACGGGGACAAGTAAGACGAACAAGGACAAGTCCTTGCCTTATGATTCGTATGTCTTGCTAGGAAAGAGGAAAAAAACAGGTATGTGGAGAAAGGAAGGCAGTTTGGGTGCTAGGGATTCACTGGGGTGTGGCGGGCTGGGGGTGCTACCGCAGGCAGGGAAGGAGCCACCACTCTGGCTGAGCTGAGAACTCCATTCAGCCCCAAAAGCTTGGATTCCCATGGCGGTTCCCACACAGTGAGCAGGCAGAGCAAGCTCCTCTCTGCCCTCCCACAGCGGGGAGATGGGGTCCCGGCGGCGCAGGCCTCGGGGCACTTGGTGGCAGGCCCAGAGGCTATGGGAGTGCAAAGAACAGGTGCATAACCCAGCAGTAGGGGGTCAGGAAAGCCTTTTAGAGGAGTGACACTTAGAAACTAAGTCCTGAGAGACACGTGGGCTAGCCCACTGGGGGAAAGAGAAGGAGAGCACGCAGAAGATGTCCATAGATCAGAGGGAACGTGGAAACACTGAGGGGAAAATAAATGAGTAATAAATACGGTTATACTTAAATAAAGTGTTATTAGGTGATAGCAGAAGACACGGTTCAGAAGGTAATGAAAACAATGGGTAAAAATTAGATGTTGATAATCCAAAATTTGTAAAATCCCTATAGAGTACAGAGGCTGAGTGTAGTGTAACACTTCAGAACCACAGTGGGTTCACAATTATCTTACTTTGATTTATGATGTGGTGATCAACTTCAACTTTTTAAAACTGAAGTTTATACTGAAAAGTTTATACTGAAACCTTTCCTATTTTGAATTTCAAGTTAACAGAAATAAACTAGGTTATCTGTCTTATGTTTCCAGTGCCTGTCATACCACAAGGCCGCCTTACTTTGGAGAAGGGGATCGAGTTGATTATCATTTTATCTCTCAAGAAGTTTTTGATGAAATGCTGAACATGGTAAGAGTATTCTCCTTTATTCTTTTTGTGCAAGAAATACATGTTCTCTTGTAGAAATACTAGAAATCATGATAAAAAAGAGAACAATTACATTTTGTGTTTATGAGAGACGTGTTGTAATTGTCTTCCCTTAAGTCACTTATACACTATTTTTCATCTGTTTTATGATCTTAGAGAAAATGTTATAAATTTCCAATAAAACCAAATGAGTAGACATTTTAAGAAAATGGAAGTAAGAGCACTATGAAAAGTTCTTGTGTTCCATGTTTATCAGGTGCTGCTGTTATTAATCTGACTTCCTCAAGCTAGGCAGTACTCACAGACCTGATCGGATGCATGAAGCTTGTGAATTGAGCATTCCTAGGGGTTGGGGTGTTCTTTCCAGAGACCACTCCTTCTGTTTACCATCACTGGTTGCTTGCTAATTGCTGAGCCCATAAGCACCGTGACGGCATGGTGCATCCCATTCAGTCAGCCTGTCCTGGACACATATACAGCTTTAACCTTCCATGTTAACATCCCTGTTCAAGAAGTCCTAAGTCTTAGAGGCCAGATGGTTCCCTAATGCAGTTGGAAGCCCTGGCTATTAGGCCAGAGAAGAGTCTTGATTTCAGGGCTGTGTCTTTACCGGGTGAGGGTGCTTACCCCACATTAGTCTATTTCATAAGAGCTCTGGGCAGTCTTGTTCAGTTCAAGTTATTTTCCCCTGCAACCCTGGTAATCTTGTCATTGCTAGTAATTCATGACACCCTTGCCTCTGGGTGGGCTCATTCTCTTAACAGCAGTTTATTCTGGGCATTCACATGCAGAGGGAACCCTCACTACCTGAGTGTGTTTCATCTGTCAAAACTGTATGCTAATGTCCACACATTTCCACCCATGACTTCCATGGAACTGAAAGAGTATTTCATATCTTTATCACAGCCGACAAATCTTTAAGCCTTTTATTTTCTCTTCACTGTGGGCCTGAATTTTGTTTATATCATCATCCTTTCTGTCACCAAATGAATCTTACACCATATTTTTTTCCTGAAACCTACAAGGGGACTGAATTAAGGACTAATCTATGTTCTGCTTTTGAAAGATTATCATTCAACCAGTGATACTCTTACAGCTACATTTCCTCTCCCCTCTTTCCACTCCTCCTTCCTCCCTTGTTCTCTGCCCCTTCCATCCCCAAATAATGGACCTGACTTACACCTAAATGCACATAATTGTAGAACATTTCAGCATAGGCTCTGCACTTTCTATGGGTTTACTTTGAATAACCAACCTCACACATGGTGCGTATGTCCTCTTGCATTCACAGAGAAACGCAAGTGAGAAAGCCCTTTAATGCCTACGCCCTTTTCCCTCCAGCTCTTATCAAAAGAACGTCCTGGAAATTCTTTAAGTCTTCTGTCGTAGGGCAATATTTTGGCACTATTAACGTATGATCAATTTAATGCATTGAGAGTGTTCTGGGTCTTTATATTTCTAAAAGCCTTAATAGAGATTGGAAGCATTATCTTGATATGAGTAAGAAGCATTCCTTGAGGACTCTTTGGGTTAAAAGACAACTGGTTCCCCAAATTAATGTTAATTTCTCTTGTTAGAGTCTGAGGCATGTTTCCTTGGTTCAGTTCATCTGTTCTCAGTACCACATATGCTCCCTTGATGTTCCATACCTTGTCATATCTATAACCAAGGAAGTCTGGTTCAATTCCTAGTCTAAGAAATCACTGTACTTGTATGCTATATTTAGTCTTATGGTTTTACGCCTTCTACAAAGTCCTTGAGTGTTTAAAAAGTACCAGTTTTCACTGCTTCTGCTAACATTTATTACTTCAATATAATGTCATTTTCTTCGACTCAGTTTTGCTTCTGATTTCCTTTTTCCCCCTTAAAGTGAACTTGAGACTGTTTCATAAAGAGACAAACCTAGAGACACACTCATGACACGTTGTCAGCTTAAGACACACCCAGCCTATACACAGATCCGCCTCCACAGAACACCCACCCAGACAGCCTGCCACCCCCCACCGCTTGGCAGACGGCCCTGACGTATCTCCCCACAAAAACCTGTGGACCCACCTACCCACTGTGGTCACGCCTACCCACTCTGATAGGTACACACCCTCTCATATACACACCCCGCTGACCACATACAGGTCATCCCCTGGACATGCCCACAGACACACAGCCCTTTTTAAGGACATGTATCCATCACTTGCCTGCAGATACTCTCTCCTGTGGAAATAAGACCACAGATCAGGAGGCTTCTGAAACACGATTATTACTATTAAGAAAGGCACAGGTGGGAAGAAGTGAAAGGAGTGTCACCAGCTAGACACTGGAAAACCACGTAATCCAAATTCTTTAACAATACCATTTAACAGGGCCTGTTTTGTATATATAAGTACAATGCAAGATGCCTCCCAACCCTACATCCTTCCAGAAAATATCCTTGTGAACAGAGGGAGGCCCTGTACACACAAATAAACAAACTCATAGTTTTATATCTGAAAAGTGATTCAACTATACATTTTGAAAATAGGGTAAATCACAATAAACAAGGTAAACACATACCTGATGGGAGATTCAGAAGATCTATCTATGTAGATATATATATATTAAAGGAAAAGGAGTCACAGTATTTGTTCCAAAGAACAAAGGTATGACATTGAGGGGATAAAATATTAAGGATAATTACTGCTGAGTCTTTAAGTCTTAGAATACATGACATAAACTTCTTTGGGTTATGGGGGGTGTGGATTTTCCTCATTGCCTGCAGCAGACCAGAGACCCACTCCACCCCAAAATACACCTGACATCTCCTGGCTTTCCCACACTGCCCCCTGATACATAGCCCAGCCTCACCCCACAGATCTCCTGAACATCTGCTGTTGTTCCTAATGGTGGTGGTGCCATTTGATGAGATCCTGTTGATGGGATTCAGCCTTGGGAGTTTTTGTTTCATTGTTTATTTCAGAATCATGTACGTGAGGAGCCACAGATGCCTTTGTCATCCACGTTCTCATCCCTTCCCTTGTCGTCAGCCTCCAGTATAGATTAGGCCTAGTGATTTAATAAATATAATATTGTCAAAGAAAAGGTCAGACGATTTTGAAACGTATTTTTTACTTGCATTTTTTTTTTGCAAGGGAGTACAGCTTCGGGAAGAACCAGCATCTAGAATACAGAGAGAAGGTGGTATTTATACCTCAGGTGACTGTAAGGCACACAGCAATTCTGTTGGATAACATTTGGGGCAGTTTCAGTAAAAAGCTGTGTTTAAGGGAAAACAGGATGGGTCTGTTTTCCACGGCTTATCTCAGGATTCAGAGGTTTCACGATGTCCCTGTAATTCATGGCCTTCTGGCTTATCTGAGAATGCAAAGCTTTTGAGGACTGAAGCTTTTTCTGGGCAGAGCCAAAATGACTGTGGCGAAGGGCGAACTATTAGTCTGTGCTTTCTCAAGAATGAAGGCTTATGGTGCAGGGTTAGCAGGGAAGTGGATGAATAAGTAAAATGATCCACCATAAGCTTCCGTGCCCACGCTCTCCTCTAATGTTTTGTCGGCAGATTATTTCCAAAAGCCTGATTTGTTTGCCAGTTGAAAATTCTGAATACATTACTTGACCACAGTTTGCTATAAACTCTTTGTCATCCTTATACAATGGCTAATATTCCTAAGTTTTATGAAATCATAATAAAATTAAGACATCAAATAGTTTTCTGTAAATTAAGTTCCACTATGGCAACTGTTTTATGAAAATCTTTGTATTTTTCAAATTTCAGGGGAAATTCATTCTCACATTTCATTATAGTAATCACCATTACGGATTAAGTAGGGACACCGTAGAAGGTATCGCAAGAGACGGCTTAGCAAGCTGTATTCATATGGAAATAGAAGTAAGTGTTTTCATACAATTTATTTTTAATGTGTGAAAGTTTGTGTATATATTTGGGGCTGGGGAGGGGGCTACAATGGGCAGGTAGCATACAGCTAGGCCCAAGGAATGCCTACCAAAGGGTGAGACTGGAGGCTTGTAATTAGTGTAGGGAAGGCAAGACATGAAAAATTAAATGACAGGAGTTACATACAAGAAATTACACATGGACTATGAGTAAAACTGCCTCCTAAGATATATTTTCTAAGTTATTTTCTCCCTAAACTATCCTTTATCTTTTTAGAGCATGGTCTCTGTTATGAAGTGATATTGTAGATAAAGCCTGATGCTTACAGGCATGAGACACATTCCCTTTCCATGCAGATGCCCTTGGTCCTTCATTCTTCATGGAGGCGTGTGGGCTGCACTCACTGGTTACAATACTGTCATACTTTCAGCAATTGAGACTTGCCAATTTCAGGAGATTTTTCTCTTGGCCCCAGTATCACATCTTCTCCCAGTGATCTTCTATAATTAGTATATGCAGAAAATCTTCTGGAAACAAGACCCAGAGTAAAATCAATATTCCACTTACTGATTTTAAAAACATAGCTTTATTGTGTATTTGAAATCTTCAAAGACAGTTGGTTTTTTCTCTAGGTTCCTTCACTGAGCACAATGACGCTTTTCTGGTCAGAAAAAAAGTTATAAAAATGATTCCATTAGGTCAAACTTACAGAAAACATAACCAGGCCACCCTGGTATCCCTTTACTATGGACTCTGAACTTTTCTGAGAGTTTTTTTCCTCTGTGACTTGGCAGAGCAGGAGACCAATCCCCGTTTGGCTCCCTGTACTGGTGTAAGTGCAGCCTCACTCTAATGAAACAGTCACATTTCCCCCAGCTCCTTCATTTTCCTAATTTCAAAGTCATGCAATTCTTAGCTTTCTGCAATTGATTGGTTTTGCATCTTCAAGGAGGTTTTCTTTGTTTCTATGCTCATAAGCAAAAAACAGCCTTTTCTCAAAAATATCTCCCTTGGACAAAAATGTCTTCCTAGGCAGAAACAAAAATGAATTCATCTTCGAGTGCAGAAGCTTTCCAGTTGCCTGTGCTTACCTTTTTCCAGTTCAGTGGCTCTCTGAGTGCTGGCTCGTGTGTCACTGTTTTACTCCCCAAGAGCTTTCTCCTTCTCATCTTCAGGAGGTTGAGTCTATACACCAGGCTTTTACTCCCCGGAGTCTCTCCAGCTAATGCATTTTTCCAAAGTGCTCTTGTCATCAACACTTTTAGAAACTGTTTTTTTAAAGAGTCTATATTTCTCTCCCCAGAATTTTCACAACAAAGATTTTGGACTTTAAGTGAACCTACTGATGATAGATAGGATTGAGGTAGAAGGAATTTTAACATTCATTTGGAATAGCTCTTTTTTTTGCTGAGGAGGAAACTGGTACTCAAGAAGCTGGAGAGATTGGCACGGATTCTGCGGTAGCTGGAGAGCTGCAGTCACAACCAGCTCTCCAGATCCACAGACCACCACCTGCCACTGCTCCCTGTGTGAGCTCCTGGCATCCTGGTGCCATGAGCATGGCCTTCCTGTGCTCTGGGTAAGAGTCTGTGAGATATAACAGGAACCGGCCAACCAGCTGCTGTTTTAGCAACAGGAACAGTCTCAAGGAGATGAAAAAAGTGGTAACAAACGAACCTTTTCACTTTGGTAATATATCTATATCTCCTAGAGCTACAAGGATGCCCTTTAAAATGTAGAATTGAAACTACTTTTAAATAATGAAGATGCAATACTGCTGTGAATGTACCTATTTGCATCTAACAATTTTCTTTTCTTAATCAAATTCAGTAGAATGATTAGTTAGAGGATAACTGGGGTGAATGAATTCTTATATTTCCAATATAATTTTTGATGAACAGAGAGAAGTAATCTAACCTTGAGATATTTATAGGGAAATAATAGCTATTTATACAGATACATTCTTCAATACAGTACTACTTATACGTGTTGTCAGATGTCTCCAAAATGATTTCTTAATCGTATCTGTTTCCAATTCTTTTCTTTAAACACATAGGGTGTAAGAAGTTTGAAATGTTCCTATTTTGAGCCTCGATATATCCTGGTGGTACCAATGAACAAAAAAAAATATGAGAAATACTTACGGAGAAAAGGATTATTCAGTCGTGTAGAAGTTGAATTTGCTGTCTCCAGAGTGGACCTTTATATTAAAGTTAATCAGGAATTTCCAGGATATTTTGATGCAGTAATCAATGCAGGTCAGTAACTTTTAGCAAAGTTTTATTTTGAGATATAAGGTCACCAGGGAAAAATCTGTTCCAAAGTACATTCTTATTGTTGACTGACTGCAGTTTCTTGTGGTTGTAGGACTGGGGTCCCTGATTCTTTGTTGGCTATCTGCCAGGGGTTGCCCTCCATTCCTGGAGGCTTCTCCCTAGAGGTCCTGTCCACATGGCCCCCTCCACCTTCAAGGCAGCACCAGCACATCAAATCCTCCTCATGCTTCAAGTCTCTGTCTTCCTTTTCTGCTACCAGAAAACTCTCTCTGTCATTGGGTCTTAGAATTCTGTCTACCACAATATTCATAAACTTAAATGTAGCTAAAAAAAAACATTACCACCAACAGTTGCAAACTGTATTTTGATTTTGATACAATTCTGTCACTTTAAAGTGTCTCGTTTACTGTAGATGACCTGGATGTCGCCTACCAGTTGCTGAGTCAGCTCATTAGAGAGTACCTTGGACTGTCTGAGGAAACCGCCAGCAGTTTGGCTCCAACTACAGGTACTATATCCTGTCCCTTTTGTTCCAGACTTTTTTTTTCACGGAAAGGAAAACAAATTTGTGAGTTGTTATTTGGGTACTCATCAGCCTGGCTAAGCTGGCTCTAACTCTTTAATTCCCACACTTCCTCTGGTGTGATTGTCCCCACAAACTAGCTGCATGAATCAACCCGCTGAACCCGTGCCTGTGCTTGTCTCAGTGACCAAGATAGAGCCCGGAGGACTGTCCTTCAGGGTGTGCTGGGCAGTGCCCTGAAGCTTTGTGGTAGGTAAGGGTCAGCTTCTTGGATCACAGCTCAGCCTTTCAGAAGTCTGGCCCCCTTTACAGGGCTGAGGTGTTGTTCTGCTTGGTAGGTTTGTATTGATGTTGTTTCAGTCCCTTTTTCTGTGCATTGCCATGGTCCTTAAAGTGTTGGACTACATAGTATAGTGGAAAAGTACAGTCAGGGGATGGGAGCCAGGTTCTGGCCTGCTGCTCCCTTGGGCAAGCTGCTTACCACTCTGGGCTTCAGTTTACTGCTTGCTAGATGGAGTTATGGATCCTGTCTTATGGATCGTTCACAGCAAATGACCCAGGATATATAAGAGCATCTCCTCAGAATCTAGGAATTACAAAGCCCTCACTTAGAATGTTGGTACAGGAGTATTGTATTTAAAAGGCTCCCCCAGATGCATCTTACACCCATTAGGATAACTACTATGAAAACAAAACAAAACAAAATAAGATAGATAATATGTGTTGGCAAGGATGTGGAGAAATTAGGAATATAAAAGGTTATATAGCTGCCATGGAAAACAATTTGGTGGTTCCTCAAAAAATAAGAAATAGAATTACCATATGATCTAGCAATTCTACTTCTGGGTTTGTACCCAAAAGAATTGAAAGCAGGGACTGGCACAGTTATCTGTACCCCCATGTTCATAGCAGCATTATTCACAATAGCCAAAAGGTGGAAGCAACCCAAGTGTTCATCAGCAGACAAATGGAGAAACAAAGTATGGTATGTACTTACAATGGAATATTATTCAGCCCCCCAAAAGAAGGAAATTTTGACAATATTACAACATGAATGAACCTTAAGGACACAGTACTGGTGAATAAAGCAAGTCACAAAAACATAAATACTATATGATTCCACTTATATGAGCTACCTAAAATAGTTAAATCCACAGAGACAGAAAATAGAATCATGGTTGCCAGGGACTGGGGGCAGAGAGGAGTGGGAGTTGTGAACAGCACAGAGCTGTCAGCATTGCATGACGAGAAGAGTTCTGGGGTTCACTGTGCAACAATGTAAATGTGCTTAGCACTACTGATCTGTACACTTAAAAATGGTTAAGATGGTGTAGCTCCAGGCCAGAGGGGGTTTCAGCTCTGGGAAAGTTCACTCTGGATTCAGTGAGACTGAAAAACAGTAATGGAGCACTGGGGATAAAAAGGTTCTTAATGGCTTACATATAGGGCAGTTTTGGTTAAATAAATGCCAAGCTTTATTCTCATGGTGGCAGGTTAAGCACTAGAATCCCCCCCACTTCCATCTCTGCCTCTGCTGCAGCCTCTGCCTCGGGTGCTGCTTCCACTCGAGGCTCTGTTCTTCTCTACTCTTAGCACCGGCAGATCTCTTTTTATGCAAACATGCACCTACACAGTAGGCTAAGTATTACATCACTGCACGTACAGTGGGCGAGTAGATTAGGATCAGGTGAGGATCCTGGCCATGGATCTTCCATTTTCCATACAGATGGCAAATTTTATGTTATGTGCATTTTACCACCATAATAATAAAAAAAGAAGGTCCCCCCAGGGAAATGACCTTCATTCTCATCCCATCCCATATTGTGAATATATACAGGAGACTCTTGCTGCTATGCAAATATTCTGCAGGTTTGTGTGTTTTGGCTTTTGTGAGTCTGTGTCCAAGTAGGATTTTGCTTGCCAGGTTGCATCCTGGCCAGGCTGAGGCAGGCCAGGTCATGATTTTTCCAGAGTTCAAACTAATAGTGCTGATTTACAATTTTACACACTTTTCCCAGGTCAGGTGGCCCTGGAATTCTGGAATGAGGTCAGTGTGAAGCTGGTAACAACCAACAGATAATGACTGAGCTTTCTCTTCTACATATGTCTTATCTAGGAGACATGTGATCAGGGTACAACTTACAGCCTGCAAAGTATCTGAACAAAGTGTGCCCTATGTGAAAATGGGCAATAGTGCATGAGTGGGGGACAGTGCTCTGTCCATAGGGGGTGGGCCTTAAATTGGGGGCATGCTGGTGTGTTTCTCCAGCACTGCTCTTATTCTCTGAATCAGGCGTTGGCTCTTTGAAAAGCTATGCCTGACAAGTTGCACAGTGTACCTAATGAGGTTTTGTAGCTTGATACAAGTTTCTCTTGAGGAAAGCTAACTCCCTTTGCTTTAAGTCTTTGCTAACCCAGCAACCGTCTGATCTTTAATTTGGTCCCCTGGGTGGGCCTGCATCCCTGTGGGGGGCTGTACCCTATGTTGGAACACCCTGCCCTGACCCCCGAGCCAGGCCCATCTCCCATGGTAAATTAATAACTTCGTGTTCTAGTTTTTAAATCAGCCCCATGTGGGTTTAGGTAAACATGAATGAGTCTCCTGAGCCCGACCAGTTCTGAGTACAGAGAAAACTGTTTCTCAGGCAGGAGCACTGGGGGCATCTCTGAATCATGGCACCTGAGCAGTACCCTGCCTCGGCAGCCAGTGGGGCTCTGGTTCTCCCCCTTATTCTGCAGCCATGAGGAACACTGACAGTTGGGTGCACTTGCCATTTGGCAGATTAATAGACAAGAGAATTTGTGCATAGGAAAACAGACTCTCATTTTAAAGGGTCAAATAAAACATCATTTATTTGGATTAATTAGGTCAGGACTACCTAATTTGATGAAAAGTATGGATTATAGAGTTTATAAAAATGTTATCACTCACAGATACATTTAATAACTGAAACTGGGATATCCAGCTATGGCCTAATAGAATCCCAACTTTAAAAAGTAGATGCGAAGTGGATTTATAATTAATGTATCAAATCACCAGCCTCAACAGACCCCTGTTTTTCTGGCAGATTTAGTATTTTGGAAAATAATGTGCTTTCTTAAAAAGCCAAACAGCTTATTTTATATATACGTTAGTCTGTGCAGGAAGTCACATTGTTTAGTGGATGATTTAAAGGTAAACTTGTACATAAAGTGACTTCATGGAGGCCAGACAAGAGAGTATTTTAAAATTGGAATTAACATAGTCCTTACTAATAAGCTTTCCCTGGTGGCCCAAAAGTAGAGCCAGTGGCCTGAGTCTTGGGGCTGTGAAGCACATGCCAATGCGAGCAGGCCAGAAGTTTACAGGCTCACTGCCAGAGAGCAGGTCCCAGCCATAATCACCTGAAAATGAATGTCATGACTCCCTGAAGGGGTCCAGAGCCGCAGCAGGTCACCGCCACACCCTTCTGTGCCTCCACTCTGTACTGGGTCTAAGTTCTGTGGTTTAGATATATTTCCATAAAGACTTAACATAATTTGCATAAATGTAAACAGGATACCTAGAAACAAAAATCAACAATTTTAGTAGAGTGGAGTATTTTTTTTTATTAATTATTTTTTATTGAAGGGTAGTTGACACACATTATTACATTAGTTTCAGGTGTACAACACAGTGATTCAACATTTATATACATGATAATTCTAGCTATCAGCTATCACCATACAAAGTTGTTACAATATTTTGACTATATTCCTTATACATTACATCCTGGTTACTTATTTATTTTACAATTGGAAGTCTGTATGTTTTTTTTTTTTTTTTT